GGGGGGGGGGCGAGGGTGCGTAGACCTGTGGCAGTAATAGATTTTCAAAGCATTAAAACTAGAGTAGCTTTCCTTTAGGGGATGGCCTTTGACAGCTCGTCTTGCTGACAGGGTTTCAACAGAAAGTTTACTTGATTGCTTTGACCAACGTTCAACGATATGAATCCCTAAGATCAACATGGATGCAATTGCAAACAAACAGTAACTCCAAAAGGATATTTCGCAAAAGTACCGGTCTCTAAGGGTGGTTCGTCGCATGGAAAAGAAAAAGACAACAACAACAACTAAGTCAAGCGTCAACTTACTTTTGTGTTAAAAGAGGTCAAAATAATATCGTAGTTATAGCAATAACTACCAATTGCAGTCCCAAAGATCAGTTGCCAAGGAACGTATCTACCCGTTGAATAATGTAAAGCAACAGTTGTGCGACGAAGGATTCTTAATTACTCGGTACTTTATTGCGACAATAATAGAGTGTTCACGTGACGTCATCAAATTCTCAAATCCAAAACTAAAGAACCATCAAAGGTTTTAATCTCATCAGGCATAGGAGGTACTAAATTTATATCTGTTTACAACGTTCCAGCTCAATAGCTTCCTTCGTTTGGAAACCAGCGCATTTTGAATTTCGGAGCTATGGCGGTGCGTGACATAAAGCTAAGATCGCGTTTGTCGAAAAATGTACACTTACCTTGTGATTTTTAGCCATTTTAGAAGTTTAAGGTCCCTGTGACTAGTCTCTACAACAAGTCGCGGGGACAAGTCCCATCGTGTGAACTGGCCATTTTTCCTTCAAAATCTGGTCGCAGGGGCTAACTTTGGTGCCTGCGACTAGTCCCACGAATTGTTCCTCAAAACGCTTCGTGTGAACTGTTCGTGGGACAAGTCCCTGCGACCAGTCCCTTCGTGTAAACTCTTCAGGGGACTAGTTGCAGGGACTAGTCCCCTCGTGTGTGCCGACCTTTTAAGTAAAAGGAAAAGTGCTTGTGTAAATGTTTTTTGATTCGGTTCTGATAATCAGTCGACTAAATAGCCAAAGTAAGTTCCAGATGTTTACACTATTTTCCGGCCTCCAAATTGGAGGAGTAAGAAGGTCCTAGGAGGTACTAGCACAGGACGAAATCGATCACATGTTTCCGTATTTCTGAAACGGGGCGGAAACATGCAGCTCCATGTTTCCGTTATGTTTAAGTCTTTCGGAGACGTGAAAATTCAAGTCTACGTGATTCCGTCACCTTTCCGGGACGGAAATGCCAAGTCACGTTTCCGTCATATTTAAGCTAGCAGATTTCCCCGGGGCAGATTTCCGCCGTTGTTCGTTTCCGTCATGTTTCTGCAAACGGATTATAGGCTCTATAATTTTGCGCGGAACATTTCGACGAATATCTCAACGCACACATCCCAAACTTGGAGAACTGTCTTCTTTATTTATCGTCTACAATATCACAATTTCTTCACTTTATCTGCTGAATGGTTTTTTATTTTATTTTATTTTTTGCGCGGCAATGAACATACTCTATTTACTCCACTAAATACTGAAATTTTTGCCTCTGCAATACTGATAGATTTTTCATTTTCCAGTTTTACAGTTAATTATGAGTGTAGGGTAGGCAAATTTTAATTTTGTTATTTGTCAATAACAAGGATTCCGTGTAAGGACAAGTAACAAATAGCAAACAAAAGTACTTCACTTTAAAATGAAAATATATTATTGAAAATCTGACCTAAAGATTTCTCACAGTTAATATGGATTTTTTGGCCTATTTTATTTCGTAGCTGCTTTTAAGACAAAGGCAAAGTTTTGAGTTATGCTTTGGGCCCTCATTCGTCTAAAGTTGAGATCAAAATAACTTCTGTATTCTTTCATGGCTATTTCGCTATTATGACAGAGGAAGTTTCCTTTTCATCATCAGTATTATGGTTTACAATGCGATACACAACTTTTTTTCTTTTCGTTTTTTGTAGGAATCCTATTATTACGAGAGAGATGTTGCAGCGGATTATTTCAAATTTTAAGCTCGATATACAGTGTTTAACTGATGCATTATTAATGACTTTAAGAAG